TTCGATTTTACTTCTTGTGAATCTATGTGAAAAGGAAAGAAATTAAACTACTTTGAAAGAGATAATGAACTAGACATGAGTGGAGTAGAGCGAAGAGAGTTCAAATTTGGCAATGATTTGGGGTTTACTCTTTTCTTCTTCTTCTCTCCTTTTTTGTTTCAAATCTAATCTTGTAATTTTCTTTTTTCTTTATTTTTTATTTTTTTTATTCCAAAAACACTTTAGACATTCCAATTCTTGCTTATACCAAAAGTGGCTAAAAACCGTTAAATCTCCATCTTGTTACTGTCCCCAATTTTCTGATAATTAATATTAATACAACAACAAAAAATATAAGAACAATGACATACTTGAAACATGCTCCTGTCATGTTTCAACCAAAGCTTATAGCATCTTTATCATAAGTGATATGGTTATATATATATTCACTTATAGTACATTGGATTCACTTTTAATTGTTCGACCTTTGTGAACCAAACACATGTCTTCCAACTATATATAGTTTCGGTGTGTTGAACACATGTCTTCCAACTATAGTTTTGGTGTTGATCAGTGGGAATATTAGTGTTAACCTAATCACGTTATCTATCAAACATGTGCTTATAATAACTTTGATAACAACACCTTCATCTTTTACAACGATCGATGTTTATCTATCGATTTTGTACGCTTTGCATATACATACACAAATTTTATATAATGTGTGAATATATGGAAAGTAAAATTAAGATAATAGAGGAAGAGCCGTACAGAAAATGGAAGTTAGATAAGTGAAAAAGAGAGAATAATTAAAAGGAGAAGATTCAATATCATGCTGCAAAGTTTCTAAACGATTTTGGAGTGTCTATGAGTCATCCCTCTTTGTGCTCCATGTAAACCTCCCAATCATTACCCACACTCACTTTATCTCGCTCTACAAATATATACTCTATTTATATATGTAAAACATCCTAAACACTGTATATAAGGATGTGTATCGTAAGAAAAAGGAAAGGGGGCATTATTGATCATGAAAGGTAATGGTGTATAAGAAGCAATGGAAAG